GTCTCAGAAAAAGAAGAGAAATAGGCTGGATCAAAACCATGACCAAACTACATGCTGTTTAGGGGAAACATACTATAAATACATGAACATAAATAGGTCGAAGCAAAAATAAAATATATACCATAACACTAATTATTAAAAAAGTAGGTATGGGCCAGGCACAGTGGTTCACATTTGTAATCCCAGCACTTTGGGAGGCCAACATAGGCAGATCCCTTGAGCCTAGGAGTTTGAAACCAGCCTGGACAACATGGCAAGATCCCATCTCTATCAAAAAGAAAACTAAAGAAGTTCCCTGGGCATGGTGATGGGCACCTGTAGTCCCAGCTACTGGGAAGATCACTTGAGTCCAGGAGGTGAAGGCTGCTATGAGCCAAGATTAAGCTACTGTTCTCCGCCTGGGTAATAGAGCCAATCTGGTCTCAAAAAAAAAAAAAAAAAAAAGGTTAGGTGTGGCTTTATTAATATCAGAAAAGGAATATTATCACAGATAAACAGGGGCATTCCAAAATGATAAAAAGGTAAAACCATCAGGAAAGGAAAATAGAATCACATGTGTGCACACAACCATAACCATAAATGCCATGACTAACATAGCTTCAAATTATATCAAGAAAAACTGACAGAATGAAAGTGAGGAATGGACACATCCACAATGTTCATACCCAGCTATCAATCAAATACCAGAACAGAATGAGGGCCAGGCACAGTGGCTGTAATCCCAGCATTTTGGGAGGCTGAGGAGGACGTTATCACTTGAGGCCAGGAGTTCAAGACCAGCCCGACCAACAGGGCAAAACCCTATCTCTACTAAAAATAAAAAATTAGTCAGGTGTGGGACACACACTTGTAATCCCAGCTACTCAGGAGGCTGAGGCAGGAGAACTGATTGAACCTGGGTAGCGGAGGTTGCAGTGTGCTGAGATCATGCCACTGCATTCCAGCCTGTGCAACAGAATGAGACTCTGTCTCAAAAAAAAAAAAATTTTTTTTCAGAAATTCAGCCTAAAAAATGTATCTCTCACAAACCCTTTCTCAAGAAGCTACTGAAGCATGTACTTCAATAAAACAACAGTAATCCAAAAAAGACAGAGGCATGAGAAGCGGCAAATAAACGATCAACATGAGAGCGTGGAACAAAATCCCTGGGAGGAGTGGAAAGGAGACGGCAGAATGGTGCTGATTCTCTACTAACCCAAACTGCTTGTACTACAGACTGAAACACAGTGATTCAAAAGCTAGCATTTTGAGAGTTTGTCATCAACAAGATACCTGGGGCCACTCTACCAACTTTTTATTAAACTGAGAGCAGAATGCCTGGGTTAGCCTGGTCCAGATTCTTATCTGTACTTATCTTGAACATGTTCTGATGACATCTGTCTTTCCCCTCCACACCAAACTGCCTTGGATCAGATGAAGACACTCATTTCACGTCACAGAAGTGTTCTGCTGTAATCTACTCCCGAGAGGTGGCAGTTCACCAGTGAACCAAGATGCAGAAAAATACACAGCATCCCACTCCCTCTAATTATATTCCTACCAAAATTCAATACCTAGTCTACACTCTGACCCTGTCACATGGCCGAACTGTGCTGAGCCCTAAGCTTCTCATGACCTTGCCAATGACTTCCACAAACAGGACTTCCGTAAACTTTCAGGAAAGCCGAAGCCAGGCTCTACCCAGAAATTCAATTCAGTTAATCTTCTCCTCGGAGCCTTTGTTCAACAGTAGCAAAATTAATTTCTTTCTTTTTTTTTTCTGAGATGGAGTTTTGCTCTTCTTGCCCAGGCTGGGGTATAATGGCCTGATCTCAGTTCACGGCAACCTCCACCTCCCGGGTTCAAGTGATTCTCCTGCTGCAGCCTACTGAGTAGCTGGGATTACATGTGCCTGCCACCACACCCGGCTAATTTTTTGTATTTAGTAGAGACTAGGTTTCCCTATGTTGGCAAAGCTTGTCTCAATCTCCAGACCTCAAGTGATCCATGCACCTCGGCCTCTCAAAGTGCTACGATTACAGGCATTAGCCACTAGGCCTGGCTCCAACAGTAGCCAAATTTCTAGAGCCCATTTGCACTGCTAAATTTGCTTGGTGTTGCCACATTGCTCCCAGTAAGCCTCTATCATTCTATGCTACCTCCACCAATACATGAGTGGTTTCATTTCTTCTTAGCTAACACTAGCTAGTGTAATTTAAAAATAAATGATAACCTAAGTCTTGACAAACGGCCCACAGGTGCATCTTTTAGATCTCACATGTCTGAAAGGAAAAAACGCTCCACCAATCAGACAAAAGATTATGCAAACCAATACAATGTTAATTCCAGTTATAGTTTATCAACTATATTTTATATTAAGAATATATATTAGCAGCCGGGCGCGGTGGCTCATGCCTGTAATCCTAGCACTTTGAGAGGCTGAGGTGGGTGGATCACTTGAGGTCAGGAGTTCAAGACCAGCCTGGCCATCATGGTGAAACCCCATCTTTTAAAAAGAAAAAAAAGAATATATATAAGCGATATTAATTCCAATTATAGTTTATCAACTGAATTTTATATTGATTAAAATATATATAAGCGGTAAAGTCTTTAAGAAAAGCAAGAGAACTATTAAGAAAAATATCAAGATAGTGGCCATCTACTAGGTGGATTCAATCAGAAAATTTGTCATGAAGAACAGATAATGTTCTATTTCTTAACTTGGGTGCATACACGGGCACCCATTTTATTATTATTCTTTAGTGGATACATATTTGTTATACATGTTGTTATAACACATGTAAAGAGTGTTAATGTTTTAATATACTCTTCTGTATATGTGTTACACAATTAAAGATTGGGAATAAAAGAATGAGCAAACTCTCTATGCTCTAATATGAAAATACTTCAAACATATGTTACTGACTGATTTAAAAAACACATAATTGGGCTGGGCGCAGTGGCTCACACCTGTAATCCCAGCACTTTGGGGGACCGAGGTGGACATGGATTGCCTGAGCTCTGAAGTTTGAGACCAACCTGAGCGAAAGGGTGAAACTCCATCTCTACAAAAAAATACAGAAAATTAGCTGGGCATAGTGGCATATTGCCTGTAGTCCCAGCTACTTGGGATGGGGGTGGGGGAGTGGTTACGCAGCAGGATTGCTCAAGTCCAGGAAGTTGAGGCTGCAGTGAGCCATGTTCACACCACTGCACTCCCACTTAGGTGACAGAGCTAGACCCTGTCTCAGAAACAAACCAAAATCATATAATTAAGAGACTGAAACACAAACCATAACCAGGCACAGTGGCTCCCGCTTGCAATCCCAGCACTTTGGGGGGCCGAGGCGGGTGGATCACTTGAGCCCAGGAGTTTGAGACCAGACTGACCAACGTGATGAAACCCCATCTCTACTAAAAATACAAAAATTAGCCAGTCATGGTGGTGCACACCTATAAACCCAGCTACTCGGGAAGCTGAGGCAGGAGAATTGCTTGAACCTGGGAAGCAGAGGTTGCAGTGAGCTGAAATCACGCCACTACACTCCAGCCTGGGCAATAGAGAAGATTGTGTCTCAAAAAATAAAAAATAAATAAATAAATGAATAAAATGGCTAAAATCCAGAACACTGACAACATAAAATGCTGGCGAGGATGTGAGGCCATAGGAATTCTCATTCTTTGCTGGTGGAAATGTAAAATGGTAAGCCACGTGGAAGAGAGTTTGCCAGTTTCTTACAAAATTAATTATATTCTTAGTATATGATCCAGGAGCCTTGGTATTTATCCAAATGAGCTGAAAACATGCCCCTAAAAAACCTGCACACAGATGTTTATAACAGCTTTATTTATAATTGCCAAAACTTGGAAGCAATTAAGTTTATCTGTTCCTTCAATATGTGAATGGATAAACAAACGTGGTACATCACATCATGACATATTACTCGGTACTAAGAAGAAATGAGCTATCAAGCCAAGAAAAGACGGAGAAACCTTAAATGCATATTTCTAAGTGAAGGAAACCAATCTGAAAAGGCTACCTACAGCATGAATCCAACTATATGACATTCCGGAAAAGACACACTAGGGAGATGAGACAGTAGAAAGATCAGTGGGTGTTAGGGACTTAGGGAGATGGAGGGAGGGGTGCATAGGCAGAACACAGGGTATTTTCAGGGCAGTGAACCTATTCTGTATGATGCCATAATGACAGATACATGTCATTATATATTGGTTAAAACACATAGAATGTACACAAAGAGTGATCTCTACTGTAAACTACATGCTTTAAAGTATCAATATTGGCTCATCAACTGTAACAATACACATATTAATGCATACAGTAAAAACGGGAAACTGGGGGCAGAGGTTGGGAATGAGGGGGTATATGGGAACATACTGCATTTCCCAATTTTTCTGTAAACCCAAAACTGCTCTAAAAAAATTAAATATATTAATTAAAGCAGAACACATATGAACAGAACAATATGATTAATACACTATCTTATGTTTGTGCTTTTATTTGTACTTGTGTAAATATGTGCAAATAGCTCTGGAAAGCTACACAAGAAAGTAATGACAGTGGTACCTGCTTGGGGTGGGGGAATTTAAATAGTGACCGACATACTGACTGCATTCTCTGGGATTAGGCTGATCTGACTGGAAAAACCAAATACATGCAATATTCTTCTGCACTTGCACTGAGGAATGCTACATGAAACCACCACAGATAAAGTGATAACCCTTTCAAAATTGGTTGTTTCTGGGGATGCTATCCAAAACACTATCTATATGAAGGCCCATAAAATTTATTCAGACCTAATGTACAGAACCAAAGAATTAGTATTCATAACCAGGGCAAGACATTTAATGACTCAATTTACTTTTTGGCTGCTGGTATTGATCAGTTATCCTTACTATGTTTTCCTTGCGTTTTACTCATTCACACTTTCCTATTTCATTTTCTGGGTCCTTATAAACTTCCTTAAATGCAATGAAAAGCAAAATGGGGAACAACTCACCTGGGATTTATTCATTTTCTGTAGTTTTTGGTAAAGGCAGAGAACTATGAAGGCAAAACTGGAATAGAGAAAAAAGGAAGGCATTGTTATTAAAGGTCTGATCTGCCTTACAATTCCTGGAATGACTTGTTTAGAAATCCCTAGAGACCACCTGGGAAAATACCACCTCCTGGGATAGTCCCTTTGCCTCTTCATAAGGGCAGAAAAGATCATACTAGCAGCACCTATCTTCAATGTAACATTATCAGACACCCATAAAAGCAAGACAAAGATAATCCATTATTAAAAGAGGCAAAACAGTCAACAGAATCCTTGACTGCTGAAATTATCAGACAGGGAATTGAACACAATTATGATTCATATACTAAAGGCTTTACTAGAAAAGGTGGACAACACGAATGAACAAACAGGGAATTCCAGCAAAGATGGAAACTACAAGAAAAAAATCCAGTGGAAATGCTAAGAAAGAAAAGTACAGTAACAGAGATGACCTTTCTGCAGGCTGATTAGTAGACGAAAGAGCTAAGACACGTTTCAGTAAACTTGAAGATAGGTCAAAAGAAACTACCCAAACTGAAACACAAAGAGAAATGGAAGAAAAAAATGAAAGGACAGAGCATCCAAGGGCTGTGGACAGTATCAAATGATCTAATAAACATGTAACTCAAATTCCAAGAGGAGAAAAGAAGTATTTGAAGATATAATGGGCAAGAATTTTCCAAAAATAATATCAAACCACAGGTCCAAGAAGCACAGACAATTTATCCAAACAGGGAAAATACAAAAAACTAAATTCAAACAAAAACACACATGGACACACTGTATCCAAACAACTGAAAATCAAAGTTAAAGTCTTCAAGGTAGCCAGAGGAAAAAAGGCATATTATACATAGAAAAATCAAGATAATGAATCATAGCCATATTCTCATGAGAAACTATATAAGCTAGAAAACAAAGCAATGGCATCCTTAAAGTGCTTTACGAGCAACAAAAAAGCAACTAAAGCAAGAGAACTATTAACTCAGAATTCTATACTCAACAAAAATATCTTTCAAAAATGACAGTGAAATAAAAAATCTTTTCAAACAAAAAACCTAGCAAATTCATTATCAGTAAACCTGTACCAGAAGAAATGTTTAATGAAGTTCTTTAAATAGAAGAAATAGGATACCAGACAAAAACCTGAATCTACACAAATAAATGAAAATTTCTTGAGAATGCTTAAAATGAGGATAAATATAATAGATGCTTTTTCGTGCTTTTAATCACTGTAAAAGATTATCTAAAGCAAGAACAGTACCAAAGTTTTGTGGTTTTACAGCATGTGTCAATATGCTTGAAGGATGAAATTGGGAGCATACTGATGTAAGTATACCTACATAAAACAGTATGATAATCTTTAAAGTTTCAATAAACTTTAAGGCAACAACCAAAAACTTTAAATGTTTACAAATACACAGTAAGACATCAGTGGAAATAAAATGCAATTATAAAAAAGACCCACTTGAGCCAAAAGTAGAAAAAAAGAAAAACAGAAACAAAGACCAAATGAGAAAAATAGAAAAAAAAAAAACCAAAACAGCAAGATGGTAGATTTTGATACAACTCTATCAATAAATTGGTATAAACACACCAATTAAATGATAGAGGTCAACTTCTATGAAAAAAACAAAACGAAACCATGTGCTATCTATAAGCAGTTTATTTTAAATATAAAAACATAGCCTCATTTAAATTAAAAGGATGACTAGTTGTAGGAGTCAGGAAATTAAAAAAAAAAAAGAAAAAATAACAAAAAAAGAGGGTCAGGCACAGTAGCTCATGCCTGTAATCCCAGAACTTTGAGAGGCAAAGGTGGGTGGACTCTTTCAGCCCAGGGGTTTGAGACAAGCCTAGGCAATATGGCAAAACCTCATCTCTACAAAAAATAAAGAAAATCAGCTGAGTGTGGCAGTGCATACCTGGAGTCCTAGCTACTCAGGAGACTGAGACAAAAGGATCAGGGCGCACACCTGGAGTCCTAGCTACTCTGTAAGTTGAGACAAAAGACCTCGAATCTTAGCTACTAGGGAGGCTGAGGCAAAAGAGAGACCCTGTCTCAATCAATCAAGGAAAATTCTACTATCAACAGTCCAACATTTATTCAAATACACATGAAACAGTTTCCCAGATATCATCATATCCTCGAAACTTAAAACAAACCACAACAGGCGTGGCACAGTGGTTCCCACCAGTAAAGCCCTTTCGGAGGCCAAGGCCAGCAGATCACTTGAGACCAGGAGTTTGAGACTGGCCTGGCCAACAAGGCAAAACCCTGTCTCTACTAAAACAAAATGAAACAAAAATACAAAAACAAACCACAATAAATTTAAAAGAACTGAAATTTGTAATATAGTATTCTGACCAAATCAGAATTAAACTATAAATCAATAATATAAAAAGATCTGGAAAATCTCCAAAGACATGGAAATTAAGCAATACAATCTGAATAACTAAAGGGTGAAAACGAAGTTGCAAAAGAAGTTTAAAAAAAATTAGAATTGAATGGTAATGAAAATACAACATAAAGGCTGGGCACGGTGGTTTAGGCTTGTAATCCCAAAACTTTGGAAGGCCAAGGTGGGCAGATCACTCAAGGTCAAGAGTTCAAGACCAGTCTGGCCAACATGGTGAAACCCCATCTCCACTATACATACAAAAATTAGCAGGGCATGATGGCAGGTGCCTGTAATCCCAGCTACTCAGGAGGCTCAGGTGGGAGAATCGCTTGAAATGGGGAGGTAGGGTTTGCAGTGAGCAGAGATTGCACCACTGTACTCCAGCCTGGGTAACAGTGAGACTCTGTCTCAAAAAAAGCTAGACTCAGTGGCTCACGCCTATAATCCCAGCACTTTGGGAGGCCGAGGTGGGGGAAATCACGGTCAAGAGATAGAGACAATGCTGGCCAACATGGTGAAACCCCGTCTCTACTAAAAATACAAAAACTAGCATGGTGGGACATGCCTGCGATCCCAGCTACTTCAGAGGGTGAGGCAGGAGAATTGCTTGAACCTGGGAGGTGAAGGTTGCAGTAAGCCAAGATTGCACCACTGCACTCCAGCCTGGTTACAGAGTGAGACTCCATCTCAAAAAAAAAAAAAAAAAAAAAAGAGGAAATATATAAAAATTTGACAAATGCCCATCAACGATAGACTGGACAGGGAAAATGTGGCACATATACACCATGGAATATTATGCAGCCATCAAAAACGATGAGTTTGTGTCCTTTGTAGGGACATGGATAAACCTGGAAACCATCATTCTCAGCAAACTGACACAAGAGCAGACAATCAAACACCGCATGTTCTCACTCATAGGTGGGTGTTGAACAATGAGAATTGTTCAACATGGGCACAGGGAGGGGAGCATCACACACTGGGGTCTGTTGGGGGGAAATAGGGGAGGGACAGCGGGGGGTGGGGAGTTGGGGAGAGAGAGCATGGGGAGAAATGCCAGATATAGGTGATGGGGAAGAAGGCAGCAAATCACACTGCCACGTGTGTACCTATGCAACAATCTTGCATGTTCTTCACATGTACCCCAAAACCTAAAATGCAATAAAAAATTTTTTTTAAATATTTGAGTGATATAGCTAAAGTAGTATTTAGAGGAACAGTTACATTAATAAATTGTTTATTTTAAAAAAGAAAGGTTTCAGCCGGGCATGTGGCATGCACTTGTAGTCCCAACTACTTGAGAGGCTAAGGAGGGAGGATCGATTAAGCCCAGATCAGTGCTAAAGTAAGCCATGTTCACGCCACTGTACTCCGGCTTGGGTGACAGAGCAAAACTGTCTCCAAAATTAAAAAAAAAAAAAAAAAAAAAAGAGCAAGAAAAAAAGGAAGAAGAGAGGAGGAAGGAGGAGAAAGGAGGAGGAGGAGGAGGAAAAAGAATTTCAATTAATGGTCTCAGCTTCCATCTTATAAAATCAGAAAGGAAAAAAATAGGGAATGAAACCCAAAGCAAGCATATGGAAGGAAATAATAAAGAGCGGAAATCACTAAAACTGAAACAGGCAAGCAACTGAGAAATGTAATAAAACCAAAAGCCGGTTATTTGAAAAAGATTCATAATGTCGAGAAACTGCTAGGCAAACTGGCCAAGAGAAACAAAAAGGACACACAGTAACCAATGTCTAGTGATTCAGGAGGCACTATTACAAATACTAGACATTACAAAGAGTAAATCTTTTGATAATAAATATAGATACTAGCTCAACTAATCAAGAATAAATAGGTGGGGAGAAATCCCAAATACACAAAGTAAGTGGGAAATAGCAACACAAATAAGGGAAAAAAATAATAGTAAAGAGATTTTATCTCTATTAGCAGTAAAACACTACACAATTATTAAAAATATATATTTTTTACCAAGATTATAAAATGTTGCTGAGGGTGAAAAACCAAAAAGGACTGAACCAAATGGTAAGGAGTATGAGAAGACCCATAAAGAGGTGTCCGTTCCCCTAATTTAACCTAACCACTAACCGGATTACATTAAAAATATCAACACTTCTTTTTTAATACAACTGATCCTCAAGTACAATCATGAATCACTTAATGACAGAGATAGGTTCTGAGAAATGTGTCATTACGCAATTTCGTTATTGTGTTAACATCACAGAGTGTACTGACACAGATGTCGGTATAGACCACTACACACCTAGCTATACACCTATTGCTCCTACGGTACAAACCTGAGCAGCTTGTCACTGTACTGAATACTGTAGGAAGCTGTACCACAATGGCAACTATTTGTGTATTTAAACATAGAAAAGGTACAATCAGCCGGGCACAGTGGCTCACGCCTGTAATCCCAGCACACTGGAGGCCAAGGCAAGGGGATCGCTTGAGCCCAGGAGCTTGAGACCAGCCTGGGCAATCTAGTGAGACCTCCTCTCTACCAAAAATTAAAAAATTAGCTGGGCATGGTGGCAGGCACATGCAGTCCCAGCTACTTGGGAGGCTGAGGTGGCAGGATCCCTTGAACCCTGGAGATGCAAGCTGTGACTGCACCACTGCACTCCAGTCTGGGTGGCACAGTGAGATCCTATCCCCCCTCCACACAAAAATTAAGAAAGAAAAAGAAATGGTACAATAAAAACTATAGTATTACAATCACATGGAACCACCATTTTACATGGGGTCCGTCGTTGACAGCCACATAGTTATACAGAGCGTGACTTTACCAAAATTATGGGAAAACTTTCGTATTTCAAAGTAGTGAAGACTTCTGGGTGCCAAAAACGGAAAGAACAGAAAATTCCATCCGAGAGAAATTCAAAACGTGCACACAGCAAAATCTACCAGCGAGTAAAATCAAAAGATAAAGAAAAAAATATCTGCCGCTCACAAAGTAGCACCGGGTTGTGAGACCTTGGGGAAATCACTTCTCCCTTCTGAGCCTCCGGTGTTCCTGGGGTTGGGACGGAGATGACAAGCGGAAGTCACGGGGTGGACGCGAGGATCAAGGGGACACCTCACTAAAGACCCCCTGACAAAGGGATCAAGGCGCTCCTTCACCACTAGCACCTGCCCAGGATCCCAGACCTCCCTCAAACCCGCGAGGCTCTGGGCGTAGGGGCGTGGCCAGGTGTGTGGCCCCGCCCCGCCGGGACCTGGTCCTGGGAGCGCGTGCCCGCCGCGGCTTCCGGACTCGCTCCCGCGCGGCCCGAACCCCTCACCGCCTGTCTGAGGCGCAGCTTCTGACAAAGAGAAGAAGGCGAAGCCTAGCAGCCGCCTCCCTTCCGCCGTCCCCGCCCTCGCACGTTCGGCCAGGCGTGCCCCGCCGGCCCCGCTCGGAGGAGGGCCCTGGGCAACCCCGGACGCCGCCCTGAGGGTCACCGCCGCCTACGAGTCGCCGAAGTTTGGGTTCCCACCCTGCGCGGGCACGAGCCCATCTCTCATCTCCTTCCCCTCGGCCCCAGGCTGCGCGGAGCTACCTGGAAGCCCCCCTCGTACCTGTGGGGGCGCAGCCTCCACTCCTGGCCCAGTGCCACAGCGGGTCACGGCGCTGGGTGGTTAAGACGCGCGGAGACGGGGGCTCTGTCACCCACTCACGGCCGGTGGTGGGGGAAGGGCGGCCAGCGGCGCGCTCGCAGCACTGCACATGCGCATATATAGGGGCGCGCGCCGTTCCCAGGGTCCTCGGAGGGGTGGGCCGTCGACGCTGCTGACTACACTTCCCACAAGCCTCCGGGGCCACGGCGTTAGGGACTCTCAGGAAAGTCTACTCTTTGTTAGGAGGCCTTGGTCTGCACTGTTTCTTTTTCCGAGTTAGCCGTGAATTACAATTCACCACCTCCCCCTTAAATACAACAACTTGGCTCTTAGACATTACACAAATCTGTAATTGTATTTAAACTAGAATATATGTACAAAATTAAAGAAGACAGTATTCATAATTTCACATTCTAAAGATAACTGCGGGTAATGTTAAGTTCGCACTTTGATTTTTTTGTTTTGTTACAAAACGACATAAAAGTATCATGTGCTGCAACTAGCTTTTTGGCCTTTTTTCCCTTGCTACATTATGGAGGTATAGTGGATCTATGTATTTAAGGTGTACAACTTGATATATACATCGGGTAATATTCACCATAATCAAACTAATTAACGTGCATCACCTCACATAGTTACTATTTTTTTTGTCTAATGAGAACAGACAAAAGATCTATCTTCTTAGCAAATGTCAAGTATACAGTATTGTCAACTGTTGTCACATAGTTGTGCCTATCTCCAGAACTACTCATGTTGCATAACAGAGACTGTGTACTCCTTGGCCACCATCTTCCCACTTCCCCTTCACCCTCGGTTCCTTTTGTCCTTTATTTTTAGAACAGTTTTAGGTTATCAGCAAAATTTGAGAAGAAAGTACATTGAATTTCCTTATAACCCTTGTCCCCCCAGCACACACAACCTCCCCAAAGTCAATGTCCCACACCAGAACAGTGTATTTGTTAAAACTGGTGAACCTATAGTTAAATATCACTAGCACCTGGCCAGGCTCAGTGGCTCACACCTGTAATCCCAGCATTTTGGGAGCCTGAGACCAGCAGACAGCTTGAGCCCAGGAATTCGAAACCAGCCTGGCCAACATGACAAAACTTCATTTCTACACAAAAATACAAAAAGTAGCCTGGCATGGTGGCACATGCCTGTAGTCCCAGTTACTCAGGAGACTGAGAGGGGAGGATCGCTTGAGCCTGGGAGACTGAGGTTGCAGCGAGCCAAGATTGTGCCACTGCACTCCAGCATGGGTGACCCTGTCTCAAAAAATATAAATTTTTTAAAAATCACTGGCATCTAAGTCCATAGCTTACATTAGTGTTCACTTTTGATGTTATACATTCTATGGGTTTTGACAAATGCGTGTAACCATTACAGTATTGTACAGAATAGTTTCACTGCCCCTCAAAAATCATCTGTGCTCCACTTACCCATCCATCCCACAACCCCTGGAAATCTCTGATATTTTTACTGTCTCCATAGTTTTGCCTTTTCCAGTTTGTCATATAGTTGGAATCATACATACGTTGCTTTTTCAGATTGGCTTCTTTCACTTAGCAATATGCATTTCAGTTTCCTTCATATCTTTTCCTGGGCTTTTTTCTTTTGTTTTGAGACAGGGTCTGTGTGACGCAGGTTGGAGTGAGTGGCACGATCATGGCTTACTGCAGTCTCCAACTCCTGGGCTTAAGTGACCTTACCAGTTCAGCCTCCTGAGTAGCTGAAACTACAGGCGTGCACGGCCATGCCTGGCTAATTTTTTGGGGTTTTTTTTGTAGAGATGGGGTTTTTGCCATGTTGCCGAGGCTCATCTAGAAATGGACTCAAAGAAATCCTCCTCACTTAGCCTCCCAAAGTATGGCGATTGCAGGCGTGAGCCACTGTGCCCAGCCTCATTTCTTTTTAGTGCTGCATAATATTCTATGATCTGGATGTCCTAGTGTTTTAAATCGATTCACCTACTGAAGATACCTTGGTTGCTTCTAAGTTGTGGCAACTATGGATAAAGCTGCTCTAAGCATCTGTGTGCCCGTTTTGTATGGATATAAGTTTCCAGTTATTTTGGGTAAATAGCATGGTTGCTGGATTGCATGGTAACAGTATGTTAGTGAGACAGGAGTGTTCCCTGGACTCCTTCACCGGACTTAGGACAGAGGTGTGACTAACTTACTCAGCTGCTGCGCTAAAACCCCTTATGGAAGAGGGAGCACACAGGCAAGTGGGTGCCAGGGCCAGGGCCAGCACCTCTGGGCTCTGGCCCCATGGTAGCATCTATGGGTGTGTTACAATTAATGCTCTTTTAGCAGTTGCCATCCACGGATGGCCAAGTGTTAACCAGCTCAGTGGAGAGTCAGGATGACAGCCTTTTACACCCTACCCTCTTGATACCTGGGTCCTTGTCTGGGCGTCCAGAATCAAGTCACATGGACTTGAAGAATGGTGGATGTGGAAGTTTTATTGAGTGAGGGAGGTGGCTCTCAGCAGGATGATGAGCTGGAAAGGGGATGAATTGGGAAGATAATCACCCCCTGGAGTTCTGCTGTCCTGGCCAAATTCCTCTCCCACCATCCAGCTGCCTCTTCAACATTTAGATGCTTCTTCTCTTCTCTCCTTCTCTGCCGCTCTTCTGTTTGTGGAGCCTAGGATTTGGGGGTTTTATGGGCACAAGATGGAGAGCAGGGTGGGCCAGAGTGGTCTTGGAAAAGGCAACATACAGGGGTGAAAACAAGAAAGCCTGTTCTCATCTATGGCCGCAGGTCGAGGCTTGAGGATGGAGCCCTAGCCAAGTACCCCGCCCTCCTGCCTCCTGTCCACGTCATTAGTTTTGTAAGACACTGCCAAAACTGTCTTCCAGACTGGCTGCGTCGTTTGGCGTCCACCAACAATGTGTAAGAGTTCCTGTTGCTCCAAATTCTCACCAGCATTTGTTGTCAGTCCTGAATTTTGGCCATTCTAATAGATATGTAGTGGTAGCAGCTCGCTTTTAATTAAAATGAGAGCCTCAACAGGTTCATAGAAAACTGTTTACACCATTTTCATAGCAGCATTATTCACAATATCCAAAGGTGGAGACAACCTAAGTGTCCATCAGCTGATTAATAGATACAGTGTATTATTATTCAGCCATATCAAAGAGTGATGTTCTGATACTTGCTATGTGATTAAAACTTGAAAATACACTAAGTGAAACAAGCTAAGCTACGATTGTGCCACTGCACTTCAGCCTGGGTGATAGAATGAGAAACTGTTTCTTCAAAAATAGAAAAAAAGAAGCCAGGGGCACACCTGTAATCCCAGCACTTTGGGAGGTCGAGGCAGGTGGATCACAAGGTCAGGAGTTTGAGACCAGCCTGCCCAACATGGTGAAACCCCATCTCTACTAAAAATACAAAAATTACCCAGGCATGGTGGTGCACGCCTGTAGTCCCAGCTACTCAGGAGACTGAGGCAGAATCGCTTGAACCCGGGAGGTGGAGGTTGCAGTGAGCTGATATTGCACCACTGCACTCCATCCAGCCTGGGTGACAGAGCAAGACTCTGTCTCAAAAAAAAAAAAAAAAAAAAAGGATAATGTGTACTAACCACATGGGGGTTATTTCATCGAGACATGAAATAATATAGATCACACAAGCATATGTGGAGCGTAATCCTATTTTTGTAAAAAACTATGCACATTTTAAAAAGACTAAATACTGAAATACATGAAGAGAATGGAGAACTCCCCAAAACATACACATAAGATAAATTCCCCTAACTGCCTTATGTGTAACAGCACTGAGTAAGCACCATGTATGTGGGCTGTGCTTTTCAAGGCCTTGTAAAATTCACAATCACGCTGTCCTCTATTAATTTTCCTTGAAAAATCAAGGGCGAGATTCTAGCGGAAGGGGCTCCATTACGTTGGAGGTCTGGAGTGGTCTGGAGTTCCACGGCGTAGTTGGCTAGAGACCACCTCTCCTGTGGCCTCTTAGTGTCTCAGGGGCAGGGTTCAGCCCGAGCTGGATAGAGACAGCCCTTCGTGGATTTAAACAACCTAAACATTAAGCAATACAGCTGCTTCAAATCTTTGGGAATTTCAGAAAGACTGACAGTGCCGAAGCTGTTCCAAACTTTGAAGAGATGTTTGCTAGTAGATTCACAGAAGACGACAAGGAATATCAGGAATACCTAAAACGCCCTCCTGAGTCCCCTCCAATTGTTGAGGAATGGAATAGCAGAGCTGCTGGGAACCAAAGAAACAGAGGCAACCGATTGCAAGATGACAGACAGTTCAGAGGCAGGGACAGCAGGTGGGGGTGGCCAAGTGACAATCAATTCAATCAGTGGCATGGACGATCCCGGGGTAACAATTACCCACAACACAGGCAAGAACCTCACTATCCCCACCAATATGGACATTTTGGTTATAACCAGCGGCCTCCTTATGGTTACGACTGATAGAAATGTTGGCAGCTTTTAGTAAAAGCATTTACTGTTACCATGACAAAAGTTTGGGTGTCTTCTGTTGGTCATAGTTATACATCTGATTTTAGAGAATGGATTATTTTTTTGGAACTTGAGACTTAAAAAAAAATAGATCTTACTTTCGGGATACGATGGTTGCTGGTAATATCTGAAATTGTGGATTATATTGCTTGATTTCTACCTCAGGGTCTTCCTTGTTTCATGACGTAATAGTGCTTTAAGTTTGGTATATTTTCTTATTTGACTTCTAGGAGACCTTTGTTTTACACAGAAATAAAAATTTTTATATAGAAAATGCTTGCTTTTACTTTGTAAGGTAAGAGAGTATCCATATACTTAGATGTGCTCGTTTCTAAAATTCTAAAAGTTAATACAATCGCTCATGAATACACAGCTATGCTTCTTGTGAAAGACTATACATAACATCAGCAGCTGAAAGATAAAACAATTGCTTTTTTTTTGCTTTTGTTACATGACTGTGATACTTTGTGATTCCTTACTCTATAGATGAGTCAGCTCCACATTTATTTGGGTCTCTTTAGAGGGAAATCAGTAATAAAGCTATAAATAAGAAAAAAAAAAAAAGAAAGAAAAATCAAGGGCAAGTGTAGAGGGTGTTTTTGAAAAACACATTGCTGGTTCGGCA